CCCCAAAACCCCAAAACCCCAAAACCCCTTAACTTAGAATATTTTAGAATATTTTTCAAAGCTATTTAAATGAAAAATATATATTAATATTTAGAGCGCATACTTTAACTCATAAATTTTCAAAATGTCATTAAAAATTAAGATTCCAATCGAAAATCTTTCTCTACTTGCCTGAACCCTCACAGCCCCCATTTTCACTTTCTAGCATGCTAGTTCTATTGAATGACAGGTTCATAATACTCAGGTCAGGCTCGGTTAACTTTGAGTTACCCACACTTTCATTGTTCCGCAAAGTCGCATTCCATCTAAAGCTATTCCCAGATGCCTAAGTTACTTTTTTAATTTTTTCCTTTAAATCATTAGTTTACTTAATGGATTCCTTATATTTTACATTGATCAAGTCTTTTTCCATAGTCATTTAGGCATGGGTTAATTTTAACTGTATCAGAGACTCTTCAACTTAGGATATTTAGATTCTCAAATAATTCTTTTCTTGTGAATACTACTGCTTTTATGTCATAATCTATTCTACTAACTCTTCATTCTAGTCTTCAAGGGAGCGAACCTTACGTTTCAGTAGTATAACTTCTTTAGCTTGTGTGTTCTATGCCTACTGAAGCTAAGTATTATAGGTTAGCGCTATATTTTTCATCTACATATTCTGCTTCCTAATCGCCTATAACTCCCCCACTAAATCCTTATACTATTTTTAGTCTTTTTCCAGTTACTTTTTGAAATCATCAGACAGTTGTTCCTTGCTCTGCTTGATTAACTCTATCTCCTTTTAATATAGATCTATTTGATCTTAAAATTCATTCAAAATTTCTTCTTTTTCACTGAAATGGCCTCTTAGTTCCTCTAATTATTCATTTAGGCTTTATATATCATTCTCTCGCAAGAATAATAAATTCTCAAGCTCCTCTATTCTATCTGCGTCTTTTATTTGTTACTCTCTCATTTCCTCTAATAGCTTTGGATCAATATTCATTTATATCTAGATGGAATCTAGTTAATCCTCTTCATTATCACTCTCGTTTTTTCTATGGGTAGCGATTTCTTAATCTTCAGGCTATTCTTATATTTCTTAGAGTTATGTGATTGCGTCTTCCTCATCTGATTCTGAAGATTGGTTTTCTTAATTTTCTTACTCGTCTTTTTTCTCATCAATTATGCTACTAGTATTCAGTTTGATTCTGAAGATATTAGGGTACTTATTCTACTATACAACTTAGATATTGCTACTAATATTGCTGTTCCTCGTCACTAATTATTCATTAATAGAAGGTCTCTGAGAATCTATATTGATATTCTGATTTCTTTAAATATAAGTAGGCCTATTTGATCCATTATAAGGGCTCATACACGAATTTCTATAATCATTTTCATATTAATTGGCGGGGTGCTAGTTATAACCATAAAACTAGGATTGGGAAAAGTTTGACTATCTAGGACTAATATTGTTATAATAATTGCTTGTCTTTCTCAGGCCATGATATGGAGATTAGAATTGACTAAATCTTTGAGATAAATTATCATCACATAGTTCTTCCATCAAGCTTTGAACTGGAAGAGGCAATGGCTCATTTTACTTGATGTTCTTAGGTGGTGTATTATTGCCAAAAGTGGACTGAGTATTGAAAGTCCCAGTATGATAATTAGCATCCTATTAAGTGCTATTTCTAGTTCTCTCATCCTCAACCCCTCCTGATAGAAGATTATTTTCTCTAAGCTTTTGATCAGACATTCCAACCCCGTTGTTAAAGCCTCCGTTTTCTAAAAAGTCTATATGCATTCTAAGACTAGTTATCTGCTGCTAGTATTGGGCTGTTTAATTGCTTATCTTTTTATCAAGATTATCAATCTTAAACTCATAATTAGCCTCAGCTTCTTTCCTTTGCTATTACATTTGGACTATCATATCATTAAGAGTCTTTTTTTTTGCATTCAACTCATTCACTTAGTCTGATAATTTGAAATTCTTACTTTAAAGGGTATCAATCTCCATCTTAAACTCATTTATACTTCTTTGCAGAACTAGTATCTAATCTCTCAGCTCATTTGTTATATCAGTCTATTGCTAGCTTTCCTCCTCCATAGATTATTTAATTGTATCCTCTATGCGGAACAATTCATCTTAAAGTTACTTAATTCTGTTTTGCTTTTCTTGAATAATTTGATTCTTAGTGTCAATTTTATCTAGGAAGTCTCTCTCTATCTATTGTTTCTCATTCTCATGCTCTCTTAGTCTTAGCTCATAATCTTCAATTTCTTTCACTATTTCGGACTTAAAGTCTTAGTTCTAGAGTATCATATGCTTGAGCTTTTCCATTTCTTTAGTCAATATCCTAATCTTATCCTTTTGCTTATTTATTTTGGTCAAATAATAGTCCATATCTTTCTAATACTTATCTTGAAGGAATGCAGCTTCATTATCAAACTGTCTTCTCTCCTCTAGATACTTTTAATAAAGCTTTTCGTATTTGTCTTCACTATTTTATAGTTCCTGCTTAAGCTAAGATATTTCTCTGTCCTGCAGTAAGTTAATTTAGTCATCTTAGTCTTCCCTCCATCTATCTGTTCGCTTTTAGTTTTGAACTTCAAGTTATAGCTTTTATGACTCTCTCTTTAATTGATCAACATAATCTTCATGCTGCTTGATAAGATCAATGATTTGGAATTCCTTTTCTTCAATTTTAGCTATAGCTCTATCTTTAACTGCCTAAAGTTCATCTTCAAGAGATTCTTTCTCAGTACTTATTTAAATGATTAATTGTCTAGCTTCATGAAGTTCATTGACTTAATCAACATTAACATTTGCATTATTGATTTATGCAAATTAGCTGATAGCTGATATGACACTTACTCTTTGTGATGCTTACCCGACTCCAATCTGGTGATTTTAAAGTGAAAATGTGAGTCGTTGCTAATGTTACTAGTGATGCTTACCTTCATTATTATTATTGTGCTATTAATGCTTTAAATAGGCCTTTTTAAGTTAAGATGGATGCATGTTTATCATTTCCACCTGAATGGTATTAGGATTGCTGATTGACTAGGATGAGGATTTATCATAGCTACTTTAAACTTTACTATATGCTAGATTTGCTGATGTTTACCTCTGAGGAGTTTGAATCTACGGTTGCTTGAATAAACTGAAAGTTTTTCTGCCAGAATTGAAGGATGGAGATTACTGATTTAAGTTGGCAGCAATTGCACCAATATTTGAATCTCTCTATGCGAAAAAGCTCATTCTTTCAGTTTTCATTTTTAGGTCAAAATTCTCTTATTTAACTGTATTCATCTAGCCTAATAAGTCAGCTTCCCTTTACTTGAGCATGAGAATCTCATTCTCATACTGTATCAGTTTTTCCTCAAATTACAGATTGAATTCCTGCTTCTACACGTCAGAATAACTATTATTCTGCGCATTTAATACTCCAAATCTATTAGCACTTGGTGTTTTAATTGAATCATTAACATTATTATTAATAATGTTATTAGTAGGATAGATATTTTTAGTAGATGCCTTGTCCTATTCCTATAATTGTTTGAATAAGTTATTATTTTTAAGTTCTAACTCTTAAACCCTTCTGTTCAACTCGTTTATCTTAATCATATGCTCGAATTCAATGGATCTTAACTTACTTTCCAAGTGTTCATTTTTTACCATTTCCTCTTCTAGCCTAATCTTAATTTCTATCAGGTGCTACTCTTCAAATTACTGTATATTAACTAATGTGTTTAAAGACAATATTGAGCTGTCATGATTAGGATTAGTTTTTTGTTTATTTCTAGCAGGAATTCCTCCACTTCCTCCAAAAATATTCCTATTCGATTGAAAATTGTTTCCTATTATATTATATTAGATAAAGATTATGAGAAACAACTGGAGATTGTAAATCCAAATATATTCAATTGTCTGCATTTAGGATATTTAACTTACCATTGCTAATTGAGTTATCATCTGATGAGTCACCTCCGTGATTTTCAATGATTTAATGAGGCGATTCAAACGCAAAGAAGGAATCATCGTTGTTGCTCATTCGTGTGTCCTTTTAAGCAGAGCTTCTTATATCTCCATTTTTATTGCTTTTAAAGGAAGTGTAAGGGTTGAATTGACTGCGCTGATTATTAGTATAATTAAGGTTATGATGATTATCGTTGTCGTTCATTTTAATTATAATCTCAAAGCTCTAATAGTCAGTTTGCTTTTAACTTCAACAATTAAAATAATTAAATTATAACTTGTCTCTCGATGGATTATAATAATTAAAATGAGTACATACAAAGAGATATCAGCATTCAAGAAGAAGAGAACAGTCAAGGAAGATCCGCTGGTAGCTCATTAACTAACAAGTCGTTCTAATAACAAATCTCCTCTACCCTAAAGATAGCTCTTTGCTACTGTTAGAGGCAATTAATTGAGTCCATAAAGAAGAAGTGCTAAAAACCCAATAGCTAATCGGAAAACCTACCAGTAGTTGCAGTAATACATGCAATAAAATAGTTAATTAGAGATCATTAATCAGGAGGCAGAGGTGACTCATGAGACGCAAGATGTCTCAGACTTAGCTAATAATGATCTTATTGATGATCATATATCACTTCCCAAGATTAAGAGAAATTCTTAAGAGTCCAATAACTAATCTGATATAAATACACTGAGTCAACAAATGATTGAAAGTAATGCTTTTACAACACAGTAAATAGTGATAACGACTTAGAACTCATACATGCATAAGACAGAAACTCCATAGCTAATAAAAACTAGTGATGGCTAGCAGAATTCAGAACCTAAACTTTATCATCAATTAAATTCTACCCCTGAATCAAATGGTGGAGAAAATTACCGGCTTTTTCATAATACTTCGAAGTCTTTCCATATTTCACAAGGCTCAACTGTTCTTCAACAGCCTACTAACAATAATAACAACAGCCTACATAACCCTAATCAGAGCCATCATCATATTAGCAACACTGAGCCTAGTGTGTAAAGCCGTTAGGCATTATTGAAATCAGAGTTGAATAAGATTAAGGTTCACAACACCTAAGATACAATTAAGTACAGTCCTGATTATGAGAATGATGAGGATGATGAAGACGAAAATGAGGATGAAGAAGAGTAAATGGATCAAGTATACATTACGAATTAAAAGTTCAGAAAGCAAAGGACTAAATCAAGTGCTAGAGATAGTAATCAAGGATAAATTAGTGATCGACCTTCTACTAACAAGTAGGAGTCTTCATTATCTTAAAATAAGATATCATAGAATCACCTTAACAGCTATTAAAACAGCTAAATGTAGTCATAACAACAGAAGTATTCCTCGGAAAATGTATCTTAAATGAGTCCAAGCTAAATAAGGCATTATAATGAGCTTCAAATGCTGGATTTAGATCCTGAAAATTTGGTTTTACATAAAATATACGAAGCTATATCCTAACGACATGACTTGCTTGGATCCAAAAAGGGTTTGCCTTATAAGAAATTCAAGCATCAAACTTTAAATGAGCTTAGCTTCGATTAATAACCGTCAATGGATGTCACAAATCTTAGAATGGCAAAACTTATAGTCCCTAATCCTCTTATTGATGATCATTCAACTAAGCAAAAGAAATATATAAATTATGTGAAGAGTAAACTTAAATACAGTATTGATGGCAGTCCAATTATTCTAGAAAGAAAACCAAAGCCACATTTGATTAGTATTCATTAGAAGCCGATACAGATAAATGAAACAGCCAAAGAATCATCAATCCTTGAAGCAACCAAGAGGCATTTTGAATATAACAGGTTAAGAGATGCTCTATAATTCAAGCCAGTAACCAAAGACTAATTATAAAGGCATAACAATGAAAAGTTAAATATGATCAATCAGTCGCTGTTAGATCCATAAGAACATGCTTTAAATACACAAACCCATGTACTATTTTCATAAAACACAACTCATGCTACTGGAATATTTTATGATAAGGATGCTGAATGCCAGTCTCATCAGTTTCAAGTAAATAAATCTGTACATTCATCAAGAGTAAGACCTTAGCATGCAAGGTTAAAATCTCAGAGCAATCCTAAAGAAGATTCAATGAGTCGGGTTAAGTTAAGTAAGATAGAAATTATGCTTCCAATCCTAAATAAAGACCAGACCATTTATGCTTTGGAATAGCTTAACAATGATTCAATCAAAGAGTAGAGATAAGTTGTCAATAAATTCATAGATCGTTTTTAGAATGGAGGTAGTCATAGCAAGCCTGGACAGTATAAAATTTCTAAAACTGGAAGGGCTCAATCTATGGTTGATCAGAACACTAACGATAATAGAAATCAGCTGAGAAGCTTGATGGCTAGCAATAAAAGACAATCAGTAGCTCATTAATAAGAGACTAATTAATCCAAGAAAAACTAAAAGCAGCTATTTGAAAAGCAAGAAGAGTTAAGATTCCAAAATGAGATCAAATTTTTAGCATCACAAATGGCACTATGATATGTTAAAGATAGTCTAATCATGCATTCTTCAAGTAAAATTCACCCTTATACAAATAAGATTTTTATAAACTTCAAGTTAATTTTTCTATAATAAAATTATCCTTAAATTCTTGTAATAAATTTGCTTATGGGGTTTTGGGGTTTTGGGGAGA